TCAAATAAAAGCCTCTAGAAAGAGAGAGTTCTTACATTTTGGCGAGCACCCTAGAGACCTGTATCAAAATAATCCTTTATACCTTACAGACGATTTGTGAGATTTGCCAAGGTGAACGAGGTGTCGAAAGGCACTTATTAGACGATTTATTAGTATAGCATTCCTCATATCTTAACTACTTCAATCAATACAACCAGTGTTGAACACCACATAAATGCCAAAACAGCTGTGGTCAGTGTGTCAATTGTTTCATGCTGGACATGTGCCAGTGATTTGAAAAATCCATAGATTAGAGTACTCAATCTGCTTTGATTGATTTTACTGTATTTATAAGTCTGTTATCACATAAAGTATATGCTTATTTGATAAATCAAATGGTTATTTTACTTTGCTGTTCGTAACCCATAATCAAATCTCCCCCCTCTACTTGAGTAAACATCTTCTCACACAGAGCCTGTAGCTAGAAACACAACAGTGCAGTTAAGAAGGGATATTTTGATGTACCAAGCTAAGAAGATACTTGGTCTTCATGACTTGTGTATTAAAGAGAGAATCAGAGATAGCGAGCAGGTAAACAAAAAATTGTTTCAATTTTAGAATATTTTTGGCTCAGGTCATCCCTTGTCATGTCTATTTTCTAAAAATCACAAAAGTGCATACTTTATTCAAGGAAATCGAAAGATTTTTACAATAATGTATTATTTTTCTATAAGAATGGTTACCATTTTTATTATTTGGGAGAATTTCAACATTTTTCACCGATTTTTGCACTTTGAATCATTAATAACTTCACCAATTTATAACATATTGTGAATCTTTTGGGAGATATTGTATTTGATATTGTAAGGAATAGATTGCTAGGTCAAATAAGCACGTTGCTTGTAATTTTGTCACCCCCTATAGATCTGATTCTGCCTTTAAGACTGTCACAAAGAGTTTTCGTAACATGCTTGATATTTAAAATTGATGGTACCAATGAAATTACAGTCAATAAATAAATGAGAATAATTACGAAAGAGAAGATGAAGGTGAAAATCACATTAAAATAAATGTCAAATGTACTAATATTAATCATGAGTTCTACATTCAAACCAGACATACACTGCCCAATGGAATGCAAAGCTTATTGGTCAGTGCCAATGAGCCCAATGTATTACCCATGTAGGAAATCTAGGATCAAATGTACTGCTGGGTGCAAATATGATAAGAGATTGATGCAGTTCAAATCTTTGCTAATTGTTAACATTAAATACTTTTTGAATCAACAATTAACATTGTAAATGGTGATGCCTTCAGTGTTAGTGATAATTTGATCGAGAGAAGTATTTTAAAGATAATTTTGTATCAATAGATTTCCTATTTATGATCAATTTTTACAAATTCCATTGACCATGTATCTTCTTGTAATAGAGGATACATTAAAATATTCATTGTAGATATCCGCTACATCACAGATAATTATTACTATATAGTATGGTGTTTTCATTAACTAACGTATGAACTGGAATATATACATAAAACAAAGGGTAAACATAGCAGGGCCGTAGCCCGCTTTCAACCAGCTGAGGGGGGGGGGGTGCGATCGTAGTATTTTAAAAATTTGTGCAACCTCCTTCAATAGGATGTTTGTTAAAGTTAAATTTCAAAAAATATATTTCAATTTTTTAATTTCTCTTAAAAACGCGTTTCACCCAAAAACACATTTTGACACATATTTCATTACTTGGTAAATCTCAGTATCAATAAAGAAACCCTTGATTAAACATGGTATATTTCGGCTTTTTTGAGTCAACTAGACTGTACAGTCAAGTCGAGTAACTAAGTCAACATTCGAAAATAAAAATCTCAAAAAACGTACATCTTTGATTTCCAAAATAATTTGTGAGGTGGTTATTAAGATGATAATGTACATTTTAACGTATTAATTTTAAGTACATCTCGATTCCATTCACAAAGCGTTCTCGAATTTAGTATTCGAAATGTTTGAGTTCGGGATGATAAAAGTACGTTAAGATATACCGCTCTCTAACAAATTCCTTTGGGAACGAGATATAGAATCAAAAAAATATTATTCGTATTTACTCCATGACACGTGTCAACGAATGTTACATATACGTGAATATCTCCGTTTTAAATAATTTTGTAAACGTTGTTCTCTACAGGTGCAATTTTTTATAATTGAAAAACAAAATTGAACATTTTGCATTTCTAGATTGATAAGTTTCTTGGAATACAACTTAACCGTTAACGATTTAAGTCATTAATAATATTTCCCTTAGTGATCCCATGCTAAATAGACAGTAACTGGGTTTTATGTTCAACCTTGTTTTCATGACTTTCAAACATGAGTCGACAATTATGTAGGAAAATCAATTTTAAATGTAGCGTGTCAACTCCTGTTTTTGCACAATATTTAGCCTTTTATAATGATAGATCGCCAAAATCTGCATGTACCTCTCAATGAGGCGATATGTTTTTAAATTTATAGATGTAAGCTATAAACTCAAACAAAAAATTCAAACCACCCGCTCTTATTTTGATTGCACAAGACGAAATTTCCACTTCAGGGGAGCACTTTGGTAACACTTTGAAGGAGGATTCTTAAAAATTGTTCGAATTTTCACAAAAGGTTTCATGCAATTTCATTACTTTGTTTAAGCCTCGACTAATATCATACTCAAATCTGATACCATAATTATGAGTTAAAATGTAACATTAAACTCACCAGGTTATTTGATAAACCGTTTCGAGAATTGATGATTTGAGTTTACATGTAACTGTGGATATTTTTTATATAAATGTAAGTCGGCATGTATTCGACAGTTAATGTACACACATGATGTATGCATCAACGTGTGACTTAAATATCAACTCGTGATTATCATATTTGGCTTTCAAAAATTAAGTTGGAAGTTACAGTGGTAGGAGATTAACGAAAACGTCAATCACATCCAAATATCCGAACGACGTCAAGTATTAACAATACACTTTTCGTGCATCTCGAACAAGGCAAGGTTCTGTGATCCAGCAATGTGTATTCCGAAAGAAAAAGTTCACAAATATCAACAAATTTCATTGAGTAGGAGATTACATTCGAAATCACAACTTTCAAAACATTTGTTTTAACCAAGACTATTGTAAGAACTTGAAACATGTTGTTAGTTTTTCATACAGCATATCCTCATTTACGTTCTATGACATGCCTTACCATATGCTGTTGTCTCTGTAAGTATTTCAAATTCAGATTCCGTTGTTCAAGACGATATCGAAGACGGTATCTTGTGGCGATTCACGGCCCTTATCACTAGTTTAACACATGTACCGAATTAGAGACGATAAAGTCCCATGAAAGTCCCAAGCGACAGTTATGTCCGCCATTTGTGACAACGGTATCTAACTTTACCGTTGTCAGGGTATTCTGATGTGATTGATGCTATACAATACTGTTTCCTTTGTCTTTGAAATATTTGAATTTGCTGACTTTTTGATATTTACAGAAGAGGGCGCCACATACTCCGTTAAGCGTGAAATATGATTAATACTGCTTTTCAGGCTGTGATGGTGATGTTTTTAAAAGTATATGCAGTTGTATGGAATAATGATACCCCTATATCAAAAATTATGATATGGTCGTACTAAATGCTTACTACATGTAGTTACGACGCGTTACACGTGCACTAGTGGCCATATTGTGTCACGTACAGTTACCGACTGATCCTGAAACTGGACTAGTTTATGTTTTAGAAATATGGTTGAAACGATACAATTGATTTTCCTACGAAAACTATTTAGTATCCAATTGTTTCATTCATCAAAATGTTATAAGTTATTGATTTGATGCAGAAGTATGCAGCAGGATGTAAAAACTCAGTTGGAAAATCATAGCATTGTGAACGTGAGAACTAACTGGAGAACTTGTCATTTCGAACTTCTTACTAAGCACCATGAATGGCTCCCAGGCCAAAATCCTCATCATTTTTATTTTCATTGGTTCTCTATACTTATTGAGCAACGAACTTCGGCTAGTTCAAGAAATAAAACAATCTACTGCACCGGGTGCAATGTTAAAATGGGAAAATACTGGCGTACGAAATTTGAATAAAATAAAATCAGAAATGGAATTATTTGCACAATCTCCTAGAGGCATTTTGGAAGCGGAAAAAACATCGGGGATAATAACATTTGGAGAACATCCTAAAACGTCGGAGAAGATAATGTTAAAAGGACACTTTAAGAAAATAATTAATGCATGGGGAAACATTACAACAAGCCAAAATTATACAACTGTAGACTATCAAAACATTTGTGACATCCATTCTGATGATCTGATCCTTTCACAGGTGAAACACATGTACAATCTCGCTGGAATAAATATTAGTCAACGATTTGATCAGAAGCGTTTGAAATTCATGTCCAATATCCTTGAACCGCGTTTACAAAATTCAGCCAGATACAAATTTATCATACAGTGGTCATATGATAGTATTCGCCATAATGTCTTTATGAAGATCTTCGAAACTTTTTTGGGGAAATCAACGTACGGAGGTAGCAGCTTTAGGATTCATGTACAGGGAGTCCATAGTTTTATGTGTCACGTGAAAGATAATTTCAATGGGATATATCATGTGTGTTGTCCCTTTATACCACCCTGTAGTAATATCACGGTCACATTACTGTACACTTCTTACGGGGCATTCCTCGACATACAGACAATTCAACCATTTTCATTGATTCTTGCTCGAATTCAAAATTGCGGACTTAATAATGGCGACCAACGGTCGCATGAACGATTTGAGACGGACATGATACAAAAGGTTCAGTGTGAGAGAGATCCAAGATTCCTTTCTAAACATGAGAGATGGATACTACAAGATGGAAGTTTAAGATGGGGATTGCACTCAAAATGTATTTCAAAGATGTTGACGCCGACAGAACTCAGAAGTTGTTTTGCAAAACTAAGAAAGATAAATTGCTACGGAGACTCACATCTCGTTTATACGATGACTTATTTTCAACGACTGATAGAAAATAGCTCTGTTTGTCATGCAACTGGCGGTTCAGTTTGGAAGTTTGATAATGATCACCTTACCTTTCGTTGGTCCACTGGTGTACGCAATGTTTCGAAAGGGCTGCGTGGAGATTACGAGCCAACACTCGAAAATAATGAGCTAGTTGCAGGAAAAACTGGAGATCTACGTAACAGTACTATCATTTTTAATAATGGGGCATGGGATTTGTACAGAGGGACATTTTCTGACTATCTCGATTCCATTCAAACTCTTTTTGTGCCACTTATCAGAAAATATCGCCAAAATCCAACATGGAACAATACACGTATCATCTGGTTTGGTAATCCAACATTTCCTCATTTACCAGAATTTCTGAATAAAGAACATCATAAGAGAAATGAATTTAGAGCCGCTGCTGCCAATGGTCTTACCGAGGCACTCATTAAGGACCTTCGAGTTGACTTCATAAATCAGTTGAACCCCTCGAGTATAAGGGCCAGTGAGATTGCATGTAATGTTCATTACATCTGTACAAGGCAAAAAACTATAGGGCATGTGGGAATTGTTATAGCTCATATGCTGTTTGAGGACATGTGTAGAATATACACACCGGAATAGCCTGACAACGGTAAATTCAGATACCGTTGTCACAAATGGCGGACATAACTTTCGCTTCAACTGTTTAATCACTTGGTCCTCATTTCATGGGATTTTTTCGTTGCTAATTAAGTGCATGTAGTAAGCTCTTGTGATAATGTATCATATGGAATCCCATTTTCGATCAAATTGGGTCGTGAATCGCCACAATGTAACGGAATCTGAATTTGAGTAATTTAGAAAGACAACGGCACAGTGTCCGTTGTCCCGTATGTCATTTTGATCGGTTAAATTAAAGACTTTATTTCGATGGTAGAACGTTATTAACTGTACAATGAGTATTAAGACACTTTGATTGATTGTTGTTCCAAATGAATTTAGTCTAGGTGATCTATTGAACATACAGTTCATGAAAATCTAATTGAAGCGACGGTTACATGTATGTCAGCCATTTGTGACAACGGTATCTGACTTGTTTGACGGTAAACAAGTGTATTAAAGACATCGAATTTTGGGGCTTTTAAATCCTCAGAATATTACCTTATATGGAAAATAATCGAAAATAATTAGAATAGGACGGAGGGGGGGGGGGGTATGATATGTCCATAAGACATTGTAAGAAGTGTTATTTGCCTTTATATCTCCAAAACCCATTTTTCACTTTTTAGATATGTAACATCCAGTTCCTTACTGAGTTACGGAGTTATTTTTCAAATACAAGAATTCGTGTAGATTCGTTCCACCTTATAGACATATTACTTCCCCTCCGTGGATGGGAGTTTGGCTGGAAGCTAACACCCAATGGCCACAAATTAACCACCACCCACAACAATACTTTCATAAAATGAAAAAGCAAAAAGGATATTTGAACATGTTCGTTAAAGATCACTTGTTACTCATAAAAATCTAAATGAATTTTGAAATGAAATCATTACATTGTTTATATATAATATTACGTATATCTCATTTACTTCAATTACAGGGACAACGTACATTCGAGTTTACAACGCACATTTCTGATTTTTTAAATTACAATAAATACTTGAATATTTATTAATCTCCACCTTCTTGTGTAGTATAGAGAAACGTATTCTCAGAAAAATAATCGACACTCTTAGGCAACAGGGGAAAAAACGATAAAAAAGATCAAAGGAAATGTGAAAAACCCAACATTTTCCAACCGATCAATTTTCGTGGGTAGATTGACTACGAAAAAATCGAGCACTGTTCGAAAATCTTTTAACTAGAAAGTTAAATGTCTTCCTAAACGAATAAACACGAAATTAAACATGAAATCTTTCAAGTATTCCCAAGATTAATTTTTTAAAACCTACATCACACCTGCATCATTGTCTTTGCTTCAAATCGGTTAAATAGTGACATCGTACATCTAAAGTGTACTACGGAAATGGGAGTCGAAAAAATCTTGATATCCCATAAATTCAAAACCCAGTCAAAGTGATATAACATTTGAAATCTACTAGAGATGTAGTCTAAAAAGTTTATTTAGTTTTTCTTTGAAACTGTGACTTTCTAGGTCGGGTAGATTCCCCATAGAACCCGCATTATAGAATCCCAATGAGTTGTTAAACAAGGGCGGGGTGTGTAGTAGGAGCAAAATCATTCCATCCGACTGTTAAAACGACTGTTTGACCATTTACAAGTAATTCATCAATTCTTAAAAGTTAAAAATTCACAATGACGCCATGTAGATGTAAAGTGTATGTTTTAGAATCAATATTTGATAATTAAGTCTATTTTTAAAGTTTAAAACATAAATGAAATAGGATTAGTGTCAGAATGATATGGATTACATATTACAATTTAATAAATGAGAAATATAGGAATGGTATATTATTCTATGATCAATATTTAATTGAGCTGAGATTTGGCTCATATCAGTGGCGGATCCCCCGCCCCCCCCCCCCTAAGTTTGGCCCAAAAAAGGCCTTAAGACCCCAAAAAGTGGGCCTTTTTGGTCATTACTGGGCCTTCTAAGGCATTGATTTTTAAAATTTGGGCCCACTTTTCGGTTAAAGGGGCCCAAAAAAATTTTCCGGAAGTTTTTTCTCTAACCTGAAATCTGCCCCCCCTTGTTGGTTCCCAGATCCGCCCCTGCCCCAACTTTACTTGAAAATATAATCTCGCGAAATTAACAAGACAAAAGGCCACTGACATAGGTTATCCATGTTATCGCAAACATATAGATAAGATTCATTCATTTACCGTGTTCATATATGTAGCGTAATTATTCCCGTTCGTATCTATACAAGGGCGGGGTGTCTTAGAGCAAAATCAATTCATAATATCAAAGCATGTACCCTCTGTAAAAAAAGGTGCACTGTCCTTTACCAATCATATCATTTTTATTTTTCGTTATTATCATCCCAAACTTTAATAAGTATAATTTATGTAATCCTTGACGAAATGGAGAAAATTTCTAAGACTTTCGTAATTTATATGGTAAAAATTAGTACCGTGGGTACTGGGCTCACATGGTGACAGAAAAAACGGATATAATTTTTTGCTGATTTTTTGTTACAAAATTATTTCAAGCCATCTGTCTCTCAGTCAATTAAAATGGCTGAAAAAAAACGGATATAATATTTTGCCAATAATTTGTAACAAAATTATTTCATACAACTACTCTTTACAGTGACATGGCTTTTTACAATGCAGGACAGCTGAAATTATTTGTAAAGCTAGGAAATGGGCAAAAAGTGAATTTCGCGAAACAAGAATGGCAACCATTTTGCAGTTTTGAAAATAGGCGAGCTTTTGAACCAAGAGTCATAGGAGAGTTTTTGTATTGATGTTGAACAAAATTAACTTAAAATGGGAATCCTATCGACAGAGGGTTTAAGGTAAATGGTCCAAAAGTGGATTTTGCGAGACAGATGGACAAATCAATGTTAACTAAAATGGCTGAAAATAAATAAATGGATATAATTTTTCGCTGATATTTCGTAACAAAATTATTTCATACATCTACTCTTTACATTGACATGGATTTTTACAATGTAGGACACTTGAAATTATTTGTAAAGCTAGGAAATGGGTCAAAAGTGAATTTCGCGAGACAAAAATGGCGGCCATTTTGAAAATAGGTGAGCTTTTGAACAAGGAGTCATAGGGAAGTTTTCTGAATTGATGTTGAACAGAAATAACTTAAAACAGGAATCCTATCGACAGAGGTTTTAAAACGTGTCACAGAAAGTGGATTTCGCGAGTCAGATAGACAAATCAATGTTAACTAAAATGGCTGAAAATAAAAAAAATGGATACAATTTTTCGCTGATTTTTGTAACAAAATTATTTCATATATCTACCCTTTACATTTACATGGATTTTTACAATGTAGGACACCTGAAATTATTTGTAAAGCTAGGAAATGGGTCAAAAGTGAATTTTGCGAGACAGAAGTGACAGCCATTTTGAAAATAGCCGAGCTTTTGAACAAAGAGTCATAGGAGAGTTTTTTGTATTTATGTTGAACAAAAATAACTTAAATGGGAATCCTATCGACAGAAGGTTTAAGTTAAATGGTCCAAAGGTGAATTTTGCGAGACAGATGGACAAATCAATGTTAACTAAAATGGCTGAAAATAAATAAATGGATATAATGTTTCGCTGATTTTTCGTAACAAAATTATTTCATACATCTACTCTTTACTTTGCAATGGATTTCTACAATGTAGGACACTTGAACTTATTTGTAAAGCTAGGAAATGGGTCAAAAGTGAATTTCGTGAGACAAAAATGGCGGCCATTTTGAAAATAGGCGAGCTTTTGAACCAGGAGTCATAGGGGAGTTTTCTTAATTCAAGTTGAACAGAAATAACTTAAAACAGGAATCCTATCGACAGAGGTTTTAAAACGTGCCACTGTTGTTGACAGAAAGTGGATTTCGTGAGTCAGATAGACAAATCAATGTTAACTAAAATGGCTGAAAATAAAAAAAATGGATACAATTTTTCGCTGATTTTTTGTAACAAAATTATTTCATACATCTAATCTTTACATTGACATGGATTTTTACAATGTAGGACACCTGAAATTATTTGTAAAGCTAGGAAATGGGCCAAAAGTGAATTTTGCGAGACAAAAGTGATGGCCATTTTGAAAATAGGCGAGCTTTGAAACCAGGAGTCATAGGGGGGTTTTCTGTATTGATGTTGAACAGAAATAACTTAAAACAGGAATCCTATCGACAGAGGTTAGCTAGGAAATGGGTTAAGGTTCAGCTGGAAAGTAACATTTTGGTAAAAAATTGCTATACCTGCACATGTTATTTTCTGGTACATAATTAAGTATAAAGGCATGTGTGTATTTCCTTGCTTTTTTCAGGAAAGTATTATTACACTGTCTACTTTTAGTAAACCTGGAAACAGGTCAATGGTAGCTCCTGTGTTGTCTGGAACGCCTACCAGATATTCTAAAAGAAGACAATGTAATGATACTTTCCTGAAAAAAGCAAGGAAATTGATACATGCCTTCATACTTTATTTAGTACCAGAAAATAACATGTGCAGGTATAGCAATTTTTTACCAAAATGTTACTTTCCAGCTGTACCTTAAAAGTGAATTTCGCGAGACAAAAGTGACGGCCATTTTGAAAATAGGCGAGGTTTTGAACCAGGAGTCATAGGGGAGTTTTCTGTATTGATGTTGAACAGAAATAACTTAAAACAGGAATCCTATCGACAGAGGTTTTAAAACGTGCCACTGTTATTGACAGAACGTGGATTTCGTGAGTCAGATAGACAAATCAATGTTAACTAAAATGGCTGAAAATAAAAAAATGGATACAATTTTTCGCTGATTTTTTGTAACAAAATTATTTCATATATCTAATCTTTACATTGACATGGATTTTTACAATGTAGGACACCTGAAATTATTTGTAAAGCTAGGAAATGGGCCAAAGGTGAATTTCGCGAGACAAAAGTGACGGCCATTTTGAAAATAGGCGAGCTTTGAAACCAGGAGTCATAGGGGGGTTTTCTGTATTGATGTTGAAC